TCTGGAAACAGAAAGCTTCATATTTGTTTATATGATACACGGAACATTTTAATATGTCTGGAAACAAAAAATTCCATACTTGCTTATTTTGTTTTAAACCTGGAATATACAAATATTATACTTTTAATCGACTGATTAATGATTTTCTGTTGGAGGATAAAAGATCCAACGATTTGTTTGTTTGTTATGGATTTCGCGCAAAGCTACACGAGGGCTATCTGTGCTAGCCGTCCCTAATTTAGCAGTGTAAGACTAGAGGGAAGGCAGCTAGTCATCACCACCCACCGTCAATAATGGGACTGACCGTCACATTATAACGCCCCCACGGCTGAAAGGGAGAGCATGTTTGGTATGACGGGGATTCGAACTTGCGACCCGCAGGTTGCGAGTCGAGCGCCCTAACCACCCGCCATACCGGGCATACAAAACGTGTAAAAATGCCTGCACGACGAAATATAACCTTTACATGTGTCAGCCACTCAAACATAAAATTACCAAATCCCACAAGTGGTATTATCTTATTGGTAATAAAAACGATATTAATAAGAACACGGTTTCTTCCAGTTTCGCTTATTTTCAACTCTTTTTCTTGATAATATTACTATTCCTTCCAGGTATCAATGTAGGACCTGTCGTAGCAGGGGTCATTGGAGCAAGAAAGCCGCAGTATGATATCTGGGGTAATACCGTTAACGTAGCCAGTAGGATGGACAGTACTGGTTTACCGAACCACACACAGGTAGTTATCAGTTTAAACTAGCGAAAGATATGGAAAAAAAAAAGGTGTTTATAAGTTTGGTTGTCAAATGATTTACATATTTTGAGAAATTAAGGTGACCATTGGAAAATTGCTCAAGAGCACATGTTAGAGATTGTAAATCATGATCGAAGGAATACCGAAAACAAAGTATTGTTATGAACAAACTGTTTATCGGATTATTTATAATTGAGAAAAATGTAGAATAGTAAATTCCTGACCTCAAACAAATTTGTTTTCTTTACACCCTTTGTTTACCAGGTGACGGAAGATGTCTATGTGCTACTGAAAGATTACCCATACGTGTTCCAGTGTAGAGGTCGTGTAAAGGTTAAAGGAAAAGGAGATATGACCACCTACTTTCTAATTGGTAGAAAATCGCCTGAAGCGAAATCACCGACCAGTAGTTCCCCAGAGCGTTCAGAAGACCCAGAGGGGCATCACAGAGAGAATCCTTCTTCGCTACACCAGTTATCTAACAGTAGTAGACATAACAGTGAATGGGGGAGTATGTCGAATGATGGTGGAGACAGTGCTCTTAAAACCAGGAAAGTGCACAAAAATCACGAATTAGAAACAATAAAACAGGAAAGCCCCAATGGTCATTCGGTTTCGTCCATGCAGTCGGTTGTTGATTTCCAAGAACTGAAATTTCATAACTATGCATTTCAATCTAACTCCTGCTCTTTTTCGAAAACTTGTCCTATCTTTCGTCTTTCGGAGGTTCTCTCTCTATCTGAATCATTACTAGATATTCGGAATTCCTGTTTGGCTACTGGCCAGAATTCCGTTGCAGTTTCTTTTGCCAGGAAGACCGGTATCAAAAGCATATTCCTTCAAAAAAGTAGCACCGACTTTTCTAAGCTGACTCAAGTTCTTCAACTTATTAAATATGGGTCACATATACAAGAATCCTGGGAATATTCTGAAGTCGTATATTTCTCTTTTGACCACTCTATTGCTATTTATTCAATGAACCATGCAATTATTGACATTGCGTTAGTATTTCATGGATATTTTATTCGTGAAATTTCCCGCTTAATTTCTGAACAAGAGAACAACTTATCATTAACAAGTAACGTGAATTTCAACAAAATAGATAAGAAAAACATATTCGTTTTAGGTTTCAAAAGCAAGAATGATTTGGCTCAAAAAATTTCCACCGAAACAGTACTTTCAGAAATTTATCAGAAACGTTTAATAGAACCGGATTGTCTAAGAAAAGGAAATTTCAACATTTTAAAATTAAATAAATGTTCATATCTGTCTGAACAGAAACAAGAGATTGCCCTCTCTCTTATCACAAACAAAACTCTCTCAACTGAAAGTTGGACAAACATTAACTATAATTTACTGAATCGGGTGAATAAAAATACCATAAACATTCAGCCATTCTTAGAAAAGTTAAGCAGCTTTCTTTACGTGACAAAATTCGAAGTTTCTCATGAGTTATACATTATTAATGTGACTCAGTTTCACTCATGCAACATAACTCTTTACCCTATATTTGATTTACATGATAAAACTTTAGCACCAAATAAACATTCTGGTCATCTACCAGACACAAAAATTGGGAGTTTACTGATATATGGATTTCTCTTGAACACAATCAGTTCCTTGTGCAGATCTGATAAGAATATAAAGGAGAACATTGAAAGGCACAAATTTGATGCATCAAATACTTTAACACATAAAAAAGGAAATAAAAAAGTCCTGGTATGTGACAGAAATGGCATGCCTAAAAGCTTTGGATCTAACAGTGAATACATCAAAGATAACAGATGTGAAAATGACGTTTCTCACACAAATCTTGGTAATGAATACTCTAGGTTTAAAAATGACGTTTTGACTTCAGAAACATTCGCTATTGAAAAAAAACGAGGGTTTGCCTATACAGATTATTTTATCAGTGGTTGCTACTCGATTAGCATCGCTTACAGTGATGGTTCTGTCTGGTCACAGTGTCATCAAGCTAAGGATAACAAGCTTCGCTAACATTTCTTGTCTTACAGGAGGGCTACTGTTAAAAATAGACAAACATTACCGAAATGTTTTAACAACTCACGACATCTACTTTGTAAATTTGAAAGAGCTGTTATTTAATTTTGCCGAAACTCATTTGCCAAATTTACTTTATGTGATACGTACTTGCTTTTGGATTTCAGAAATGCTGTTTACGTCTTTTTACTAATATCTTATTCTCAGCATTTACCTTGATGTTTGGTGCCATATTTTAGATTAAACGTAAAATAGATATTAGCTTCGTGACAGAACAAGCATAGAATTCAGTAAACTATGAAGTGAGCTTCTTACTGGTGTTCAGATGCCGGGAACTGTGGTTTAGATCGAAACTACAATACATATTTTACAGTTATAGCTTGGAGCTGTGTAATGAACTCACTGATGTAATGTAACAAATATTATGATTTTTGGCTTTGTGAAAAAGACCATTTGTGTTCTGGTGGTCTATTCAATGATGACGCATGTTCTATGTTAGAGAAACTGATGACTCTAATCTATTGATTTGCAACTCAATAGACCTGTGGAATCTTTTTTCAAACGCCTTCTTTCGTGATGTTTGGACAAAAAAAATAAGTTAGCGTAATAGGTTCGTTTAGTCTAGTGCCATAGGTCATCAATTTTGGCAACTGATGATTTGTTATATTTAAAATCTTTACATTTAATATTAGTAGATTAGCATGTCTATGTATAATGGCATTACCCCTAGTACTTTGGTAACGAAATTAATCAATAAAAACATAATAGCGTAGAGCTTAGCGGATAGGCTTAGAACACAGAATTTGTTAGATATAACTTAAGAAGAATCGCTTTTTAACACTAATTTCTTCAATCGAAAAGGAGTGTTAGTTGGCTGTATTACAAATATCTACATTCATTTTTTTTTAAGTAACACCATTTATAGCATCTTTATGCTCGTGGGCCAGTTTATTACCTAGATGGTAGTCTGGGGGCTTAAACTATATAACCAGGTAAAGTACTTTCAGAATTTGATTATAATTCCTACCGTCTACTATAGACCCTCAGTTAATTATATGACTTTTAATAAATAGCTGAGTTAACATTTAAACATTCTTAGAACCGTTACGGAACTGGTTCGCTTGATATAGGTTTCGTTTTCCATTTCTATTTTGCCACTTTGGCAAAATAAAGTATAATTTAAAAAAAAATAGGGGTCGAATAAAATCCCTTCGCGGGCTGCCAATTTGTCCCTCTATGGTGTATTGGTGAATGAGATAACAGCGTGAAAAATGGTTTCATGCTTTTAACCTAAAAGCTTGTTTGTTTGTAATTAAGCACAATGGGCTATCTGTGCTCTGCCCACCACGGGTATCGAAACCCGGTTTCTAGCGTTGTAAGTCCGAAGACATGCCACTGGGGGCAACCTAAAAAGCTAAGCAAATTATATCTGTATATTAAATCATTTTTAATATCGTTATCGTAAAAACTACTAGCTACCTTATTAGAGTTTATTCAGTATCAACATTTTCGAAATCAATTTCCTTGTGACAAAAATGTTCAAAATTTTGAAGTTTAGTTGCTTTTTACAGCGCAACTAATAGAACAAAATATGATACACTTAATTTGCTAGGATTTTATTTCTTTGGCGAGTTTCTGCAAGGGTATAACTAACAAAGAAAGAAATAGTCTGTTATTATATCTAAACAAAAAGATATTTGAATTTATACATTGTAATTCACATTATTTGTTGAAATGTAACTGTAATTTTATAAAGCAAGAAATATATGTCAGCATACTGTAAACTTTATATAATTATATGTAGATATTTATATAATATATAATTAGATGTCTACTAATTAAATAAGCGACAGTAAATCAGTATATAACACTGATTTGTTGGAAATTCCTAACCAATGAAACTCGAGGGATATAAAACAAAAATGAATAAATAGAATTTTCTCTTATCATTTTAAAGTTGAGGCTAATATTGTAATAGATAGTTATTTAAACAATTTAAAACGTGCTGTTGTTACAAGATAATCACATTTTCCGTAGTTGTCGTTTTTTAATTGGTTGAAATAAAGTTTATTAAACTAACCAATGTTACTTTGGAGTATCTGTGATTTGAGCATGACAGTCTTAATATATGTTACTTTATTTTTCCTTGTTCTAGTTTTTTTCTTTTTTTGCAACATGTATATTTGATATTCTAGCTCAAGAATATTGTGTACCAGTAAGTAGATCCATAAAACAGGAGGTTCCATATAACTTGACTGGTAGAAGTTTTAATGAAATTAACTTGACTGGAAGATGGAAACCAGACAATATTCGCGAAGAACAATAAAACTTGGTTTATTATACAGAAATACAAACGGAATAAAAATGACCCAAAAGACTTCTCCTCTGAGTGTCTGCCAATCGCAAACAGGCAAAAAAAGTATGTAAGATATCTCTATCTTTCCACGTGATTGTTGGTTCAGTAGCCCTAAAATGCCAGCTTAAGAAGTCATCATCGTCTACAAACCATGCAAATCTGTGAAATCTTTCGATGTAAAAAAAAATATCATATTTTGAAGTTATGTTTGTGAAAGAGATCAAAAATTTAAATAAGGGAGTGAACAAAAACCTGGGACAAAGTGCTGAACAGCTTAGATGGTATCTTCATCATCAGTTATAGTTAAAATATGCATTAGATGTAATAATGTTTTCGACATAGTTTTTGTGTTCTTTTGTTAGATTGTTTTGTAGTTATCTTTATGGCTTTGTTATCAACTTAAATAGAACACTGCTGTCTAAGCTGTTTTAGTCTATGTTGAAGACAGTTTTAGAACTCATAGAGTATTATGTACAAATGCGAAATGAAAGCTTTATAAATCCCTTGTAACATCATAAAATTACTAATATATTGAAGCAGATGTTTTTATTAACCCGTTTGAGTTTTTTTTTTATCAGTTAGAAGCCTGCTGTTCTAAGTCACATTTGACAAGCCATTTGAGGTGGGAGTTCATTTATTAACTCTGACTTACTTTTGAATTACAAGTTGTTAACCATAATTGAAAAATGCTCATTTTTAAATGGTCGACAAATCAATATCCTTGGAGTAACTCAGTTTGCTTACCATGCTGAAGAGTAAAGTTGATAGATTTGCTTAAAGTCAATGTGTACTCTGTTTGGGGAAAGTTTACAAACGATGAAAGAAAGTGGATATTTCATCATGCAAAAACTCTTGAAAAGTAAAAACAGTTAATAATAGCAACCTTGTTTATAGGGGGAGGTTAAATCATCTAGGTTCGCCATTGGGTAACTTCTCGAGGGCTAAATTTATAGGTTTGAATTTACCCTATTGTAACTTAGTGGTCTTAGAACTGAAATCAACACTGTATTCGTTTATGGACCTGTAGTAACACACACATTAAAATCAAAATTGTTTCGATCTGCGGAGTCTAGAGCTACGACGTTCACTCCTAATTTATTGGATAACCATGACACTATACGAATAGACGGTTTTAAGTTATGAATGAGTTGTCATTCTTATGTTCCGAGGGCACGCTCATTTTTAATATTTGATCGAATAATGAAATCCTTGTACGTTGGAACGATATAAGAGAAACTACTGACGTATTTATAGATGGCTGAGTGATTATGTAAACAAAATTACGCATGCTCCTTGACACTTGAACTTGGAAATTGTGTCGTGGATTTTATGTATTTCCCAAGGGCATTGTGAACATTGATATTAATGGAGGAAAACTTGGTTTTACACGCTTTAAGACTTAACAACAAATTAAAAACTTATTAAATCTGTATATCCTCAAGCCACCAACACAATGTAATTTCCGTTCCAAGTGCACAAAATGAATGTATCCTAACAATATCTATGCTGTAAACAAAGTATTGTTGAGATGTTGTTCACATATATGTTTCCAGTTTAAAATATATTTGAACCCTTCAACAATAATGCTTTACTGTATCACTCATCGGAAAAAAAAAAACTTCACGAAAATGTTCAAATTCGCCTCAAGCATTGCTATAATCTTTAATGATTTAACACAAACTAATAGTTTTATTTTAATTCTTAATATTTCATTAAGATTTTTATTACAAAAGAGATAACGTTATTCTTAATAAGCGTTATCAAATTACGTAATTTTATTTATATTCGTTTATAGTAACTAATAATGTATCTTTAAGGTTTATTTCTGAGGACATCAGAAGTAATTAATGTGTGTATTTGTAAGTTTATGACAGAAAAACGCTTAGGGTTTTTATTCATTACTGTAAGTTTAGATTGTGTTAATTTGTAATCAATAGATGGCAGTAATATTAATTGTTTGTTTGTTTATTTGAAGTTAAACACAAAGCTACACAAAGGGCTATCTGTGCTCTGCCCACCAGGAGTATCGAAACCCGGTTTCTAGCGTTGTAAGTCCGCAGACATGCCGCTGTGCCACTGGGAGGCAGTAATATTAATTGCTTGTTTGTTTGAAGTTAAGCACAAAGTTACACAAAGGGCTATCTGTGCTCTGCCCACCAGGAATGCCATTGGGGGGGGGGGGGCGGTAATATTAATGAGCAGTAGACTCTAGTTTTTATTTTACCTGAAGAGGAAGTGGATTTTATTCCAAACGTATTATTTCCATGTTGAAATCAAATCTTGCAAACGTTAAAGCATTTACAAAAAACAACTGAAATATAAATATTTATTCAGCTTTAACCTCTGCAAGATTTAACCTTCTGTGCCTTTTAAGTACTTTTTTTTATGTGTTTATGTGTGCATATATATGCATAGTCTGTGAGCACTCGTCCCTTGTTGTAATTCTACTTCTATTTATCTTAGTTTGGTAAATTGACAGTCTGGAAAAATGCACAAAATAAATGTTTAACGTAATTTATAGATAAAGATAACAAGATGAAGTTCGAGTCCAATGCAGGAGAAGAATAAAAAACACATGATTTGCAACACAAGAGTGTGCTTAGGATATGTGGTATTAAATGTATTACGAAAATAAATAAAATGGAAATCTCATTGTTGGCATCCGTTGTTGATTACTTCACAACTAGAACAGCTAGGTTTATATATAACAGAGTGAAAATAACTGAAAAGTATATCTTTGTTACTATATATATTACAAGTTACCTTCATCTTGCTAGACCAAAGGAAACTTTGTTTATGTGATCCTTTTGTTCATCGTAGATTTAATGTTAACTTCCGATCAGAGAAAGCCACAGACATAGTGCGAAACTTAAAATCAAACTCTTAGGAGTAGAGCTTAATCAAATATACTTTTCTTACTTATTAATATTAGAATGTATTGTTTGATCAGTTGGATATCCTCACTGATAACGATGTTTTTGGCCGAATTCCCAATCATATTTCACGACGTTCGACCAGTTTAGGGGATTTAGGTTACTCTGTTTGCTTGTTCGTTATTAGGCACAAAACTACACAATAGTCAAGCTGTGCTGTTCCCACCGCGATTATTAAAACTCAAATTTTAGCGTTATAAGTCCTCAGACTTAACAACTGAACTACCGGGGAATTAAGTAAGTCCTAAATGCATATATTAAGCTAATATATGTAATAAAATAATAATAATAAAATTAATTTAAAAATAATAAAGTTAGATACAGTCTAACCAATGTTGTTAAAACGAAAGTAACAATAAAGGAATAATATAATACACTTTACGTGGAGAACATAATCCGCTGGCTTCGACTACTGTCGTAGAACTTATTTTCTTTGAAAAAGTAGCATCAATATAAAACCTGAATTTTACCTAGCACGTCCTGTGACCAATGAAAGCCTCTTAATTAATTAAGGAACTTTAGAGGAGCGTGGAATCTTTGACAAGTTACAATGGCACATGTTACTGCTAGGCGATGAAGTATGTCTATCAGAACCCTTTCAATTCAACTAACCTCTGTCACTTACGAAACACATAGCGTAAGCAACAGGTAATAATAAATAAAGCGAAATGGTCTGTAAAAGCCGAAAAGAATATACGATGAGCCTCTAAAAAGTTCAGTTATAATAATAAGACTTAGAAATGAAAACTACAGCTCTCGTTAATATGGCAAAGAAAACAAGACTTAGAAATGAAAACTACAACTCTCGTTAATATGGCAAAGAAAACAGGACTTAGAAATGAAAACTACAACTCTCGTTAATATGGCAAAGAAAACAAGACTTAGAAATGAAAACTACAATTCTCGTTAACGTGGCAAAGAAAACAAGACTTAGAAATGAAAACTACAACTCTCGTTAATATGGCAAAAAAACAAAACTTAGAAATGAAAACTACAATTCTCGTTAAAATGACAAAGAAAACAAGACTTAGAAATGAAAACTACAACTCTCGTTAATATGGCAAAAAAACAAGACT